TCAGAATTAAGAGAGTTAGTTGGGTATTAATAGAGAGGGCAGATAGTCGAGTTGACACACTGGCATTGTACAACACTGTGCTGCACATTTGTTTTAATGTACATCAAATTGATGTGAATGTTTTGTAAATACTTATATTATTTTTATACGATTAAAAGTTTTATTAAAAATAGCAATATTGGTTTTATTATATTAAAATAAAATTGATTTACTATTTTTAACTTAAGTATATGGTCATTGACATCGGTAACGGAATTGCTACCACGTACGTTGGTTTTATTTAATACCAAATATTTCGGCGCTGTTACTATACTAATCCAGTTTAAAGAAGCCCTAATGTGCTATCTGTTCTGTTAAAAACTTAAATAATAATTGGACCGACTTAAAACTTAAAAAAGTGAAAAAGAATCTCAAAAGCGACTTATTCAAGAAAATGTTATGAAAATCGGGCGGTGGTTTTCTATAGGTTTAGATTAAATAATAGGCGTCCGACTACAATAGCATTTTCTTGAATAAGTCGCTTTTGAGATTATTTTTCACTTTATTAAGTTTTAAGTCGGTCCAATTATTATTTAAGTTTTTAACAGAAAATATTATTTTCATTTTTTTAAGTTTGAAGCCGGTTGTATTTTTGTTAAGTTTTTATATCAAGTGTTTTTAGTGATATTGATATTTTTTTTATATATAAAAGGTAACACTAAAAATACTTTTTTGAAAACCGCGTCAAAATCGTGGTAAAGTGCAAACCTCCATTCCGACTAAAAAGTCGGTTAATATACGTAAAACTTCTCCTAAGTCTGACAAACTAAGAACCTCATATTTTGAAGTAGGTTAAAATCAGCCTGGTACTCAACCTCGAGCAGATTTGATAGCAATATTCAATCAAAAAAATCACCAGCTACCCCGATATGGGACGATGAGATGGAGGTTTTATCTGATTAAACTTCTATGCTATACAGCGCTGCGCTCATTCTCATAATATCCAGAGATATACAGATCTACAGACTTTGAAAGTTGTATTTATTATTGTGATAATACATATTATTTTGGAAATGACATTATTTATGTAATTGTCATTTCATTACTAAATATAAAGAGCTGGTAAGTTTCTTTCGCTTGTTCTTCTTGTCAGCTAAAAGACGTCCTGAACAAGTGGTAGGGGAAAAAAAGATTTTGGACGATTCAAAAGTGCTTGTTACAAGCTTACTTCAATAAAGATAATTTCATTTCTTATAATGCGTAAAGCTCAAAACAATTTTTTTTCTAGACGTCTTCTCTTTCTTGGAAAATTACGAAATCTACATTGAAAAGGAAATTTTTTCATAGACAAGTTGTTAACACGTTAGAGAGGTCGTTTGTTAGTGTATCGCTAATCGGGGAAACTTACAAGTTGCATATGTATTTAGTTATTTTTCGTTACTCAATGCTTGGAATAAGCAGTCACTTTTGCTTTCGAACGTTACTTGTTTCGATCGATCGATTATAAAAGCAAATCTGTTACCAGTTTTGGGTACACTTTAATACAACTTGACATACATCGACCAGTAAATATTATTATAACATTCACTTTAAAGCATGGTTGGAATGTGCATAATATGACTGAATAATTTTGTTTGCCGACCTAATCCGCAGCCGAGTGGTGTGTCATGGCCGATTCTCCCTATCCCTGATCCTGAAGGCCTGTGCACCAGCAATGGGAGACATTATATGACTATGAGTTTTATTTCTAAAGGTTAATATTGAATGTAAATATTAGGTACAAGAAAGCTTAGAAATATAAAAATTTCTTGGTTAGATATCTATATTTGTATTTTTGAGAGGCTTACGAATTAGATCCAGCATCAATCGTTTTTAAGGCAGCTAGTTATGTACCAATTTAAATTCTCTTCAGTGCACTTTTATGGATTTTCATTGAGTAGGTAGGTTTTATTCATAAAAAAGTAAGTTGTTAATGTTTCTCTAAAAACCTTTTCTATAAGATATTTTTTTCTGTTGGAACAAGTTCGTCTTCATATGTATGTACGACCTCCGTAGCCGAGTGGTTCGCACGCCAGTTTCAAGGTGTCGCTATTTCTGAGGTCCCGGGTTCGATTTCCGGTCGGGTCAATGTAGAAAATGAACTTTTCTATATTGACTCGGGTCTGGGTGTTGTGGTACCTTCGTTGTCTCAGATAGTCCATAATACGGGGGCTTTAGCTACTCAGCTTGGAATCTGAGCAATGTATGTGATGTTGTTAAATATTTATTTATTTATTTATAATAATATATATATGTGTAAGTATATAAATATATTATTTTGTATATATATATATATATATATATATATACTTTATAGGTAGTATTAATTTATGTATATGGTATATGTAAATATACTTACGGTAGTCTCTACATACATAATTTCCACCTCTATTTTGTACTCCACCGACTTTTTGTCTACCCCAAGTTTGACTGGTAGAAAATGCCTACGCCATTAGGTCCGTCATTGTACATTTCTGGAAGGAGTATTAAGAAATAAATAAACTAAAGCCACTTTGATGAAAAATTAAGCCTCAATGATAAATCAGAGCTTCTTTTTCGTAGGTCAGGGCATAATATACCTACAGTAAAGCTGCAGGGAGTGGTGATTACGAAAGTTAATAATTAATTTTGTAGTATTATTATTATTTTAAAATTTAAACTATATTTTGACATATATGTACCTTTTCATCATCATCATCATCAGCCCTTTTACGTCCCCACTTCAGGGGCTCAGGCCTTCCTTATAGATGGTTAAGGAGGATGGGCCATGACCCTCCACGCTGGCCTAATGCGGATTGGAGGGTATTAACGACTTCAAATGCAGCCGGGATTAACGGCTTAACGTACCTTCCGAAGCACGAAGTAGCTCGAGATAATAATTTTTTGGTCACCCATCCCGTGACCGACCCTTGCCAAAGACGCTTAACGACACGATCGCGGGTCGCGGCGCATATCCACTACGCCAGCGAGCTATTCATGTACCTTTTATTGAAGAGAAATAGTTGAGTACGGAGATATTAGATTTTTTTGGATCAGGTTGGGAATAATCGGAATTGTTAAGTTTTTTTCTTTAAGATAAATATAAATATGGCTTTGGGAACGCAAAATTTAACGAATTTATTTATAAAAAGAACTTGTTGGTTAATCAACATTATGTAATGTTGACAAATAAGTAAATAAGCATTTCAACTCAATGCTATATCAACAACTAATAATGTTACACGTAATGGGAAATACTCCATAGCATTTCCCATAGCAATATACCTTTGAAGGCATAGTTAACAAGTGTCCCACGCCGCTATTATAACTTAGCAATTCAGTATTTTCACTTTCACGAGCGCTATTAAGTAGGTAAGTAGTAGTAGGTACCATCCAAGCTATTGTGCTGTTTCCGTCCTCTATTCTAGTGTATGAGCATCATCATTCATACTTTGTTAGATATATTATAGTATAGGTAGAGTTAACAGCACGTCAGGTTATATAAAACAGACAAATTTCATATCTCAATTATATATCTCAACGCATCGATGGTAAAGTTCATAAACAAAGAACTGCGGATTTATTGCCAGATACAGATCTTTTCTATATTCATCGGTCCCTTTAATGCTTATGCTTTAAGGAAACTTCTTTCCTTGTCTTCTCATAGTTTCATAATTGTAGTCTTAACAGAGATCTTAATTAATTAAAAATTAAAGTTAAGTCATTAGAAAAATATGTATGATATTTTTCAATATTCGGGTTATAATTAAAGCATAAATTAGGTTCTTTTTAAATATTTTTTCATAAGAAGCATGGAGTTGTATGACTGTTGATAAGTGTGGATTCTTACTAAAACGATTCACAAGACTACTAAGATCCTCCCATTATGCGCTGCACACATTTTATATCAGTATTTTATATTATAAATTTAATTTTATAAAGTTTTATATAAAGTAGCTCGTAGTGGATAAGCGCCGCGGCCCGCGATCCGTCAGGGGATAGGTGATAAAAAATTATTATCTCGAGCTACTCCATGCTTCGGAAGACTCGTTAAGCCGTTGGTCCTGGCTGCATTTGCAGGTTATTTTAAGATACGAAATAATATTTCGGGTTAATACCCTCTAAATCGCATTAAGCCAGCGTGGTGGGTCATGGCTCATTCTCCTGTACCATCCATAACGACGGCCTGACTTCCTATAGTGTGAACATTAAATGGCTGATGATGATGATGATTTTATTAATCATGTGAGTTCGATGTGATTTGCGGTGGAGATTGGAGATCCACGGTGAGTTTAGCCATTAAGATATTGTTGGCGTTGTTTTATATTTTTTCATTAACTAAGGCAAAAACGCTATTATACTTGAACATGTGTACTCTTCCAATCATCAACACAGATGTTGTGTGCTAAGACGCAAGTCGAATGCGAATTTATTTATTTTAACTAAACTCGCGAACAGACGAGTAGGTATCTAAATAATGCGAGGCATGCTCACAGCACGTATTACTGAACAGTGCGAGCACCGAAATGGATTAATCATAATATAATTTGGGTTTTCATCACGGCAATTGGAGGTTATGTATGTTACGCAGTTATAGCTATTATCTTATCATTAGGTTTTCTTTTTATTACACAATTCAAACACTTGGATACGTTAATTATATATGAAAAATAATGTTTGTAGTAGAAATTAAGTAGCCTTTAGTTATTCTCATTATTTGATTACGCTCGAATTTCCAACATGTAGAAAAATTCCAAAGCATTTTGTTGAAAGAGAACATGAACTTGGTAACATGACCTGAACAGAAATCATTAGAATTATATTTGAAAATAGAGAGAGAGCCCTAATAAGCAATTGTAACAATGTTGTAGAAAATAAATAAAAGATTCCAATAGAATCTAGATTAGTCTAGAAGCGTTCCTTAAACACTTTCCAAAGTTCATCGGACATGTCCGTGTTTATTTTAGTCTCAGATTCCTTGACTATTCGAGAGAGAGCCCGTCCTTCCTTAGTTTTCATCCACACAGCGTCAGGCAAAGACGTTATTTAATTATAACACTAAGGATTGGAAGCTCATTATGGCCCTAAGAATCGAAAACGAAGCTAAATTAGATTCAGAACCTTGTGTGGTGGCTTGGGATGGCAAGTTATTTGTCGGCACAGGGGATGGGTCTGTTAAAGTAAGTTTCGCAGTTGTATTTTCAGTTTACTGTTGTTTATTTAGTATATTGTTTACCTGGTATTGTTTTTTCAATATCGGCGAATTATATGTGTTTCTAGAATTTTCATATAATATATACTTATTAGATTGAATTTACTGATTTATCTACATACTATAACTAAATCTCAGATAGATAGTCTGAACCTTACCTTTTATGACCAAATGTGATTATGAAATATAACGCAAAAAACCGATTAGAATATCTTTTTCCTTATTATTTATTAAAGTGTTATTAAAGAGAGATGTATTAAAGAGTATTTTTATTAGGTTATAGGTACGTAACTGATTTCAATCAGATTTAGGCACTGTTTACTGGTAAAGTTACCTAATATAAAAAATTGTTCATACTTAATAGAGAGGTCAACCTCGGATATTTATTTAAAGCACCATACTTAAATGATCCGACCAACTTACATCGTTTCGAATTTTTAAATTTAATTGCATGCATAAATAATATATGCACGATGTAAAATAATTTATTTAACGTCTGCAGACATTTGATGCGAACCTTTCACCTGGCGTGTCATGGTCGGCGCATAGCGTCCAGCTATTTGCGATTGCAGCGCAGCATGGCAAGGTTTATACGTCCTCTAATGATGCAGGCATCAGGGTGTGGTCTGCAGATGGCGTGAAAGAAGCTGAACTACCAAATGCGGGATCAGATGTCGGCGTGCTCCGAGTATTTGATAAAGAGCTTTATGTTGGAGATGAGGGTGGTAACGTAAGTTACTTAATTGTTTTCGTTAAATAGTTCTATAATTTTAAAGTTTTTTAAAAATATAGTGACGCGCATTTGTAAATTGCGCCTTGAAGACTTCATAAAATAGTGTATGAAAAATTGCACTTTTTTAAAAATTGCTGAGACATAAGTATAGCTACTTAGGATCTCAGCAATTTAAGCTTGTATTATTTGTACTTGTCTCATGGGTAATCTGAAACAACGAAGGTATTTAATCACTCAGATCTAAGACACTATAGAAAAGATTTTTTTATAGTGACGCAACCAGGAATTAGCCCTACGTCATAGGTAGCGATGCCTTGAACATGACGTGTGAGCCTCTCGGCTAATAAAGGTCATCGTCGTAGGTTTACTAAATAATTAAATATGCTTAAAAATCCACCAGCCTTAGATACTGCTCTAACCACTGAGCTACCCAGAACCTTACAGGACTGAAAAAAATTTCAAGCACTTGTTACTTTTTCGCTTCTAGTGAGCGTATTTTCATTAATGTTCAGGCAATCCACCCAAACAACAATATTAAACGGCAATAAACATAAATATTCTAAATTTTCGATTAAGATGTAATTTCCTTCTAATTTCTTATATTTGATCAATAGCTTGTGAATGCAAAATTAATCAAATATGTTATCAAGTTTTAATTAACTAGCCACATTTAATTCATAAGTGGAGCAAAATCAATTCCAGGCACACAACTTTACGCACCACCACAGCAGCGTTAACTTTAAGATTATTCGATAAATTCGATGTCATAATGACAGCTGTATGGAATTCAAATAGTTACGCCCGCTCATCTGGGTAAACAAGAACTCAGTGAATGGATACTCTCTATTGAGTGCGAGAGAATCAAGCGTAGACATGAAATAGTTCAATAATTATATGTAGTACTTATTGAAGGAAAACCTTTTTTACCTCCACACTCGATCTATGATCCATACCTAATCTTAAATTGCCCATATTGAGTAGACTTGATATTAAACAGCTTTATTCATTTGACGATCTCATCAGTTTCAAGGTGTCGCCAACTCTGAGGACCCAGCTTCGATACCCGTGGGGATTAGGTACTTAATAGCATTAAAGATCTCAACTAGTTAAATTTTATACAGGTCATGATTTTTGAAAACAACGAAGAAAAGGCAAGGTATAACGTTTTGGAAGAAGTGAAAGACTTATGGTTCAGTGCACCGTTTTTATTCACTGTAAGAGATCTTGATGTTACTGTCACTGAAATTAAACCTGGTAAGTATAATAAGTAATTTTATGATTAGGTAATGCTAGACTACATATAGTTTCATCAGTAAAGATTTCATAATCTTAATCTGACCATATTAAACCCTATAATTATAGTTTTCTACGGGATTGCTATTTATTGAGTTACAGATATTTCGGCACTGGTGATCACAGGGTATATAAAACCTTTTTGGGATAAAAGTAAACTCAAAGAGAATTTAAAGAGTACATTCAGTAGACTGAGACTAGCTGAACGCAAAGCTCAAACGCCTTATATTAGACTATTTATCAAATTGTTCTTAATATCGTAATCAATTAATAGTGGATTACACAAGGGGCCAACTAAATATTGATAATATAGGAAACTATATTTTCTTCTCTAGCCATTTTAATGAAATACACGCAATCCGGCAAAAGGCATAGCCGAGTTTAGTTAAAAGAAAATATATAAAATATGTTCTTTGTATATATATATATATATATATATGAAAGTCTACTTGTAAGTAACTTAAGAACAAAGATTGTTGCCTCGTTGGTCACAAACACAAAATGAAAAAAAAAAAACTCCAGTGCGAGAAATGCCTACGCTATAGTTTTGAATAAATATAATTCACGCGAAAGAGTAGTATTATAATGATTCATGGCATGATTAGAGGCGGGTGCGGTATGGGTCACCCACAGCCAAATAAAATACATACATATGTGTCATTTATTTCTTAGGAAATAATGTTACATTTATTTGCATTTATGATTAAACTTTATTTTATTAAGGATAAAATAAATAGGCAAATATAAATAAGTACATATAAGACAAAAACACATACATTGTTCAGGTGCCAAGATGAGTAGTTGAGCTCCGTATTATGGAGTATCTGAGACAATTTATTTATTTATTTATTTATTTAGGTTTACCAGAAACAAATAACATTATTTCTATCGTCTATGGAACATCTTATGACTAAATATAAATGTATTTGTTATATAAAGGCAAACACAGCATGCATGAAAATTGACGTTAATTAATAATAATGTATAATAACAGCACAACTAAGATTACTAAAAAAAGAAACTAAACATCTCGACTGTTGATTTGCAACTTAAATTTTCTCAAGCTCATAGCGTGGACGTCCATGTCATCACTGCAGCAGTTATTATATATTTTACACACTCGAGAAATTGCGGAATTTGAGCCTGCCTTGGTATGACGAAAAGGTGGACAGAGAGGTGCGATTGGTTTACGTGGATATCTAACTGGCACCCGAAATCTAATTCTACTTAATAAAATAGGGCAATCGATTTGGTGGTTCAACGATTTGGTGGAACAATGAAGGTACCACGACACCCAGATCCGAGACGATATAGAAAAGTCAATTTTCTACATTGACCCGACCCGACCCGAATCCTAACCTGGGACCTGTAGATTTGAAACCAGCGTGCAAACCACTCACCTCTGGAGGTCGTCTATAATAGTAAAAAACTATTCATATATAAAATGAAAACTAAAATTATAAAGAGAAAAAATACGGAGAAGTAAATGTGTCAGTCTTGGACCGGCACTGTCTCTAACCTGTCTCTGTTTGATCCATTTTCTTTTGGCTTTAATTTAATCTTAACTTTTTATGAATGCTGCAGATGAATCAAAAACTCTGTTTGTCAATCATCACACAATGGAGGGGCGAGCTCCATTGCATATGGCCGGTACTCGTCTTTTAGTGACGGCTCGCGGAGGCAACAATTTGCGACTGCACGATGCTGCCGCTCACACTGGTTTCAAACAACTACATGAGGTTAAAGTGAGTATAATCTAACTAGCATATTACTATTCATCTTAAAGTACAATGCTTAAAGAATTCATCAGTGGCGCCTGTATCAAAATTAGCGGCCGAAACGAAGGATAAAAATTTTTGCTTACACATGTTACGGGCCTCTGTAGCCCGGAAAATTTCTGATACGGCGGTAGCTACGCTCTTAAGTACCATGTACCTGGTATGGGATACGAATCTATAAAGAGCCACTGAAAGATTCCGTTTCAATATTATCCATATTAAATTGGAGAATTTAATTATTAAAATGAACGAGTTTGAATATCAATCTCTCTCTATACGTAGTCAGTTTAAAGGGTTCGTCCGTAATTTTTTTTTGTAAACGGAACTTCAGCTGTCTCTTTAAATCGGAAAAGCTGCAGTTTTCCGACCCCTGAACTAGATCCTGAAAATTATGCATAGGCTCACAGTGACAGATTTGCGCTTGTATTCAAGTTGTTTTATTTTAATTTTTCAGGTAAGCGATATGATTTTGACTAGTTTGTCAGTTAGCGGAGATTATGTTTGGACTGGCGGTTGGGATGGTATTCTCCGAAGGTGGAAGATAGATGTAGACGTATTGGAACCAGCAGGAGAAATCTCCCTTGGAAGCTGCATCAACGGTGTCGTCTCTACTTTAGATAACACCTACGCTGTAATGGCTGGCGGCAAAGTAGTTCGTATTAAAGCGGCATAAACTGTATGAGACTGATGTATCCATTTATATTTTGTGTTAAATGTATAGTTAAATGGTATTTATCGTGTTCATTCTTTTTCATAATTCATGTACTTAGTATCGTAGATATAAGACGAATCTCCTCATCATTGTATGAACGTAAATTGTCATGTTATCACATAATTACAACTGATACTTATAAATAAATCTAATAAGGTTGTAAGGCTTACGTAGTTTTTATTTCTACTCCAATAGGGATGATGACTAAGTCAGGTAGAGTGTTAAAAAATATTACACACGTATTTTTTTATTTTTTCGTAATCATAAAATTACGTCGTTACATTGAGTTGAAATTTCGCATGACGTCACGTTAGAGTACGTTTTCTACTCAACTGTGACGTAGCGAGCCCCCACTCCTCAACTTTAATGCCTGTTATCTAAGCTATTTCTTGTTAAATTGAAGTAAAAAATACGTATCTAATATTTTTCTATTATCTGACTGACGGACTAAATAGATTTTTTTTTTTACCCAGTCATCATCCCTTTTCTGATTGGTCTGCTGACAGTTAATGAATCAACCTCCCTGAAATATTCATTAAATTACGCGCGTGGTAGAGCCGCAGTACTTGTTACGTACTTCTCCTATCGGATTTTGTGGCATAGTACTGTAGAAAGAAGAAACTTATAATTATTAAAATCTTTACCCAAATTTTTCAAGTGAATTTAAAGTAGTTAATCCTCAACCGATTAAGTTGAAATTGTACATACAGGTTTGCAATGAATGATGTGGCATGGTTAAGTAACTTACACCCACAGATAAGGGTAAAAAAAGGACAAATGTCGAAAAAGATTGTTCGTTTTATAAAAATTTCTTCATGAGTAAAACTAATCAATATGGTTAACTCTATTTTATGTACGAATCAGACTTTGATCAATTTGATTTACAAATAATGAAGATATTAGATGATTTCTAATGCCTTCATTTGTTCCGTTTAACCTTAGTGAGTGAGGCAAAACGGACCACGCATGAACAGTAAAACGGACTTACATAAATCTTATATATATAAATAGGTTTATATAATATAGGGCCACTCCAGCGAAACCGCTGGCGGAAAGCTAGTATGATCTAAATACAAACCCAAGGAAACAAGTTTACCTACACTTAACTTTAATTGCAGCTTATTTCTGGGTACAAAACTAATTGAAATATAGTCGTTTTTAAAGCACCATACCCAAAGGGTATATACGGCACCTATACGGGACCCTATTTCCACAAGTACACATAAACTATCTATTATTAAGACTGCGCTGTCCGTCTGTCTAACATGCGGTTCTCATGAACTTTGACAGTTCAGAACAGCGTGAACAGTTGAAATTTTCACAGATGATATAGGTAGGTATTTCTGTTCCCACTATATATCAACAAATACTAAAACCTGAATAAATACATATATAAATAAATACATATTAAACAACATTATATATAGCTATTCATCTTGGAAACTGAATAATAGTTTCCAAGATGAATAGCTAAGGCCTCCGTATTATGGCGTATCCGAGACAATGAAGGTACCACAATAGATATAGTATAGAAAAGTCCTCTTTTTCTTTGACTCGACCGGAAATCGAACCCGGGGCCTCAAAGATGGCGGCACTTTGTATCGAAGCGCGAATCACTCTGCTGCGAAGGTCGTCATATAAATCTTTTAAACAACAAACATGATTTTTTGCGTTTTTCACAGATAATTTAACGAACTTCGTGCGCGAGAACTCGCCCTAGACTATATTGAAAACACTACTATTAAAGCGCCTGATAGAAAAAGATTAGCATGCGCTACATATGAAGTTAAAGCGCTCTGTCGTTAGAGGTGCTATTTGCTATGTATGCGTCTGATATCCACGTCTCTTGCCACAAAATAAGGGGGCGTCCATAAATTACGTGAGATGTTTTTTCAAATTTTCTGACCCTCCCTCCCCCCCTGGTGAGATGTCGTGAGATTTTATTCAATCCCCTCCCCCATCCCCAAATCTCACGTGAGATTTTTCAAAATGTGGGTTTCTTATTTAAACACGTTGGATTTTTTTAATAAAAAGAAAAAAAAATAATTCGCTTCGTACTTTTATTTACGACTAGTTAGAGACTAGTAATCAATATTGCTGAGAGCTACAAGTGTAATAAAGATTAAACAATAGAATACTTAATTCGTAACTACTGCGATTAAAAAAGGAATATCTACTCTAATTCAGTCCATGGAGAATCATGCACGGTCTCGAGAGAGACTATTGGAACCAGCATGTCCATATGATTTTCAGTAAAATCATCTGCTCCTTCAACTTCGTTCTGATCCAGCCACTCTAAGCCGTTGGCACTTGCGCACAGTAACTCATTAGCTCGTTTTGTGACAATCCGTGCGGGTCGTACTTTGCGCAATATACGCGCTTGCTTAGCTGGTGCAATGTGGGCTGCACGCCTGTGCTCTGCAGCTCTTGTGATAGATGCAAAGTAAATACCGCATGTACTACAGCATCTTTTTTCTAAATCATCATGTACACTTGGGCAATAGAGATCATAAGGCGTGCTAATGAAGGCATTCAGCGGTTGAATCGGTAGGCAGTGGCGTATTAGAAATGGAGCAAATGACTTTCCGTCATGCTCTTTAAAGTCCGGAATTGTCAAGTGTCCATCACCTGAGTGATAGGGTATGGAGGTGACAGAAAACGGTCGTGAAGAATCATATGTAGATCATATGAAGAATCGAGTAAAACATTTGCAAGAATAAACAAAGCAGGTTGGAACCTGTCCGTGTGTCGCTGCACTCAGCTCGTACGCTCTCATTCATCGAGTCACACGTTCAGCTGACAGTGGCGCGAAAACAAAGGACGGGCTACATTGTACCGTAAATTCAAATTAAATTGAGCTATTTGGTATAAAACGAGTATAGTGGTTTGACAATCAGGAGTGATGTATAATGTCAAAGTACGAATGAAATTATTTTCTTTCCAACGAATTAGTGAATGATCTTAACCTTAGACTTGTCACTCTATGAGGGATTCCCCGCACCGAGCCTTATTTTAAAAATTGCGTGATATTTGCCGAGACCCCCCCTATCTCCAACGTGAGATTAGATGAGATTTGACTCGACTCCCTCCCCCCCTTAAACATCTCACGTAATTTATGGACGCCCCCTAACTTACCTATTTTTTGATTAAGCTGTTTTATATAGAAGAATATGGACTGTGGATGGTCCCTTCTACTCCCTGTGCCTCTTCTACTGTCATATTGCATAGTAGGGCAGCAGATCTTACATGCTTGGTTATAAAGCTTGACCTCATTGCTGCATATAAAGGAGTTTAGGGGATGTACCTACATTATTTTTTGTTGTAACAAAATCGTTTGAAATTTCATATCATTAAAAATACATAGGTAAAAAATAAAAAGAGGTTTAGCAGTTTCTTGCCAGTTTTTCTCGATAGAAGGATTTATGAACAAATACAATAGAGTTAAGACTTTCTTAAAAGAATTTGATTTGGCTATTAATTATTTGAGTAATTGATGATTACTTGTACAGTTTTTTAACTACTAAGTTGAAGTTCATTTATTTACAACTATCTTTCATCTATTTCTGTAGTCAAGTCAAAATTATCTTATTAAAATTAAAATAAATATTTCCCAATTTTTGGGACTCCTTGACCCTATACATTTATTTTTTTATGGAAATGGTCAATCTTCATCTATTATCTTAAATAACAATGTTCAATTGATCTAGTTTCAGAGAAATTGTCTAAAACAGCCTGTGTTTTTCCTTTAATTATCAGAAGTTAATGATTAAAAGTTAAGTTTTCCTTTTTTGGTAAAGAACTTTTAAAACCAAAGGATCAAATGTGACAAATAAATAAATTGGCTGCTTTACTGATATACTTCATGAAAACACTTAATTGTAGTTTTTAAAATTAGTCCAAATGTCTAACCCTTTAGCTTGTATTTTATTTATGTATATATTTATAGCAAACAATAACTTAATAATTACTTTCTTAAGTGAGTCCAAATATGATGCAAGTTGTAGTTAACCCAAGTCACATTAGATTGTTTTTCCACTGGATTTTACATTTATGGATAAAATATTAATAAAAATTTTAAACTAGACTCTGAGAAGTTACAAAATAATTATCATTATCAATCATCTGGTATGAACTTCGATGTGCTATATCAATGCTACACCACTGTTATTCCTTTGAATTAAAAATGAAATAGTAATAAGAAGTTAATTCATTTATTACAAATTATACTATGTTAAATATGTATATGTACAGTACCGCACTTACAATTCATGGTAAATAAAAAATAACAGACAAAAAAAACAAATGTGTAGCAAATTTACTAATCATGTATTTACCTAATTTCAACAAATATCAGTATGCAATGGATCTTAATTAAATGATGATCTCCACATCACAAAGCTCAGACTCGGATGGCAATCTAATTGAACTTGGATCTACAAAATTAGGATCTATTGGTGGAAGACCCGCCTTTTCACGTCTTCGTAATTCTAAAAATGCTTCACGTTGAGCCCAGTCTCTCATATGGACATCAGGTGCGTATGCCCATGCGAAACCTCCAAATACCAAACAAAGTGTGACTGAAAAGAAGAACGAAGAATGGTGGGCGTTGGTATCTTCTTCTTTGCTTGTATAGTCAAATCCATAGCTCACCCAATTTTTATCTTCAGGTTTTGTTTCGCAAGCAGTGGCTGCTGTATCGCTATTTCTTTTTGATGTAGATATATTGCGACTGATTTTAGCGTAATGATTCCACACACATCTTCGCATGAGTGGCATATGGCGTAATTGTATGAGGCCTGCCATCACAAGGTACTTTAAAATACTTTTTTAATATTAGTTATTTGCTTTTTCCATGCAAAATCAGCGAGAAAGATTACGAAACCAGAAATGACAGATGACAGTTAGGGTCACATCTAGAGTTAAAGAGTATTTTACTGGAATACAACCACATACTAGGTATTTCGTAATAATAGGCGATACATGTTCCACATTTCCAAATATTTGAGCCACACAGTCATCTATTAATCTATTTTATGTTCTGAAATATCTTAAACTAGTTAACATAGGTAGCGTAAGTATATAACAAACATTGCTAACCTCAGATTAGTTTTGTGTACTAATTTGCGCACTGAGTACAATTTTTTCCTGTAATAGTAACAATACCAATCAATGTTTATGTATGGAAATATCGATATCGATCATACCTAGAAATAGCATTATAGTGACTTTGTCAGAATGAAATAAATATACTAATATCGTATTGAGAGAAAGGGATGGGTTTCAAGAAGACATCAACGCGTGCTACATTTTTATAAAGTCTCCTTTAATTGTCCACTATAAATTGAACTCCTCTAGATAAAAATACAAATAAAATATATATTACTAGTGAAAAGTTATACAATCTTTCTTGCAATTAGATGTTTTGAAAGTTTTTCCAAATCATTTGACACTACAAATTGCCATTAACCTAGTAACTACTTTATTACAAAGAAAAGTCTTCTCATTAAAGCATATGTTCACAGATACTTGGTCGTGTAACTGAGGATTCACATACGCTTATTACAGTATGCAAAATCATGTTTGGCTACGGCTCACTGTCTCTCATGCGATATCTATTGGAGATAATCTAAGTATGAAATAAACTGAGCGAAACATTGGATTCGGCGAAACCCACAAGAGCAATGCCATTAAGTAAAAAGAAGAAGAATAGTGGCTCGATCCGTTACAAAGAGTAAAAGAAGCTGTGGTGCCTCGGCGTTTGACTTGTTTTCTTCGCCTATTTCACACATATTGTTATTGTTGAATTAATATACCGTGCTTCTTTTGCATTTATAGATATTTAATTTGATATTGCCAAAATGGTTGTAAGGCAGTACAACGAAGAACTTAAATATTTGGAGAAGGTTAATCCCTATTGTTGGAAAATTAAAAAGGGCTTCCAACCTAATATGAACGTCGAAGGAGTTTTCTACGTAAATAATACTTTAGAAAAGCTCATGTTAGATGAGTTAAGAAACGCGTGTCGGCCGGGTATGACTGGAGGCTTTCTTCCTGGTGTAAAACAAATAGCCAATGTAGCGGCGTTACCGGGTATTGTGGGTCGATCTGTCGGATTGCCCGATGTCCACTCTGGATACGGTTTCGCTATAGGTAAAGTTAAAATATGTATTTCAAATTGTAGATCTAGTCAGTTATAATCTAACTAGAATTATTATAATATAACCTTACCAAAATTGAAAATAATCTTTAACCAAATTAATTCGACATAAATTGACGATGTTTATAATTTGAAATCGATATACCTATATAAACTTCTACTCCTATGAATTTACATGACTCCTGAGGCCCTAAACTATTTGTCCATGAATTAAAGTTTGGAAAATTGCAAATTGTTCTTATAATTTTGTTAAAATCATATCCATGAAAATTATCAGTGCATCAGAGGTAGGTTCTACCCCTGTTCCATTACAAATTATCATAAATTGTAATGGAACAGGGGTAGAACTTATATCATCATAAATTTCTTTGATGTCTTATTAGCATTTCGAATATTGATGAAATTTTATTTTCAGTGAAATAAAATAGACCATCAGGTGTCATGTTGCTTTATACAAGTAGTACATATGCTATGTATCTATATCCATATAAAATAGTAGTTTTACCTTTTTTTTAATTAATAATATCATCATCAGTTTTAATATTTAAAAATAGTGTAATGTAAATCCAGTTAGCTAGACTGTTTTCTTTGCTAAAAATAAATAAACAAATTTTTGAAATAGGTTCACCTTCACATTGGGCCAGTTTTACAAATTAGTAAATACAGTGTAAACTTCTACGTGAAGTCACTTGATTTAACGACAAACTCTCTAAAGCGTCTAATTCAATGGGCTTAAGTTGGTTTAGCTTGTCTTCCATACAATGATACACTCTACATAGTATTACATCCACTCTCAATAAGGACAACAATTGAGTAATAAAAAGTACCTTATGTTGCTAAAATCAGTAAAAACTGCGTAACTGTGTACATACTTTTGTTGCTTTATTATCCTAGTCGCAGACTAGAGACAAAAGAACTTTCGAAGAAATTCGTTCTTTTGTTTATAAACTGGGATTGCTTACATGTGTAGACTGTTGTTGATCATGCCTAATGCATAGTAGGAGTCATGGAGCCTATACATTATCATATTCTTAGTTGCTCACTAACTTTCAAACTGTAAACATGGCTAGTAAAAGAATATCACTGTGTATTGACGAAAAAATTTTACTAATACGCGCAATAGAAACGGGAGAGAAAATAAGTGATGTTGGCAAACGCTTTGGATTTAGTCGCTCAACTGTGTCCACAATATGGAGAAACAAAGAAAAAATTCTCCAAGCTGAGAGCGAGGGGAAATCTTCCAAAAAAAATAAAGAAACCTAAATACAAAGGTTTGGATCAAGCTATACTATCATGGTTCTACCGACAGCGCCAGAATAATATGCCTATCTCGGAGCCGCTCGTGAAAGCTAAGGTGGAGAATTTTGCTGAAGAACTTGGTTTAACTTCTTTCAAAGCATCAGAAGGATGGCTTGGAAAATTCAAGCAACGTCATCATATCAACTAAAATAAGTGGCGAAGCACGAAGTGTTGATACAAATGTGACTCAAGATTGGATTAATAAAATGTGGTCAAAATTCACAGAAAAATACACCCCAAGGGACATTTTTAATGCTGATGAAGCAGGAATTTTCTATAAGTTAACTCCAGATAAAACTCTGAAATTTAAAGGGGAAAAGTGTGTAGGAGGAAAGCTTTCCAAGGAAAGTATTACGGTGTTTGTGGCTGCTAACATGGAAGACACAGAAAAAAAAGCTAATGGTAATAGGCAAATCGAAAAAGTCGCGCTGTTTTAAGAACATTAAAAAATTGCCAGTGACATATAAAGCTAATAAATCTGGTTGGATGACCAGTCAACTTTTTGAAGAAGAAGTGCGAAAGTGGGATACAGAATTAAAGGGACGAAAAATTTTACTTCTTGTTGACAATTGCCCTGCCCGCCCGTGTATATCGAATCTTCAACACATAGAGTTGGCATTTCTTCCTCAGAATATGACTAGTGGCTTACAGCCAATGGACCAGAGTGGATGAGCCAATGGACAGCACCCTTTTCGACATGCTGGACTTTGTACCAATTCTATGATTGATGAGGTACAAACAGAACTTTGAGTTTGATAGCGACGACAACCTCCCATTAACTGAGTGGTTTCAACAGTTCAACATGGCAGGAAATAAGGCAAATCTTCGAACCTACATCGAACTGCCTTTTTACAACGATTTCACTCACTGACAAAGAAATTTTGAATTTTATACACGAAGATGAGACGGATGAGCCTGAGTCTTCGTCGAGCATTAAAAAAGCTCCGGAAGCAGCTAAATTATTAGAAAATTACTTTGTTTATCACCAAGATGCTTCAATATTGCAAGATATGGATAAAATAATTAAAAAATGCGATAAAATTACGTCAGCAAAAGACGTCAGACAAAAATAACAGACTATAATAATAATAGCGTTCAAATAAGATTCTTTTATTATCGTACATGACTACTAATACTAGTCTGAAATATATTTCTCCATTTTCTAATTCTGAATTTTCTTCTTTCCATTTAACGACAACTCTCTATAACGCCATAAAATGCACAGTCCCTTCAGTGTCGTTATATAGAGTTTACACTGTAAATTTTTCTTGCAATCTGCGAAAACAAATTAAGAGTGATATGGTCAGTTGCACAAACAAGGTTTACAAAGAAATATAATAGGGGTGGTGCAGAAAATTTTTTAATATTTCTATTTTATAGATATACATAAAATATATCTAAGAAAATATTTTAAAAAAGTATCATTTATTTATTAATTTATTAAATTTAGTTTTCAAAAGTTCATGCAAATACTTAACTTCTGTCATGGCATCACTATGACATTGCTATGATGAAAAAAAATGTATTTATTTTCTTTTACTGCTATACCCATATTAAACTTTGTGTCATATGGTTTTGCAATAATAATTTTACTTCTGTAAGTTATTTTGACAATTGTAAATGTTTAATAGGACTAACCCTACAAGTCTATTTAGTGCAATGGAATTCTATTCTATTTTATTCTATTCTATTCTAAGTCTATTTAGTGCAATGGAATTGCTACCAATGACTGTATTCAATTTTAGGTAACATGGCAGCATTTGATTTATCTGACCCTAAATCAATAGTTTCTCCAGGTGGAGTGGGTTTTGATATTAATTGTGGTGTTAGACTTCTGAGAACAAATTTACATGAAAAAGATGTACAGCCAATTAAGGTATGTTTCAACAATAAAAACTTAATATACCTAATCTATGTTACATATTTATTTTCAGTGATGTAAGTGACTATTAAAGAAATGTAATAAAAAATATTGTATAAAAGTATTTTGTGAAGATAAGAATAATAACAAATATAAGAAAATATATTTACAGGAACAACTGGCTCAGAGTCTCTTTGATCACATTCCTGTGGGGGTGGGATCTAAGGGTATTATTCCAATGAATGCTCGTGACTTAGAAGAAGCATTAGAAATGGGTATGGATTGGTCTCTTCGAGAAGGATATGTTTGGGCAGAAGACAAAGAACATTGTGAGGAGTATGGTCGTATGTTAAATGCAGATCCATCCAAGGTCAGCTTGCGTGCAAAGAAAAGGGGTCTACCACAGCTTGGAACACTTGGTGCTGGAAATCACTATGCAGAAATACAAATTGTTGATGAAATCTATGATAAGTATGCTGCTGGAAAAATGGGTTTGGAAAGAATTGGTCAAGTATGTGTTATGATCCATTCAGGCAGTAGAGGATTTGGACACCAAGTTGCAACAGATGCTCTTGTCCAAATGGAAAAAGCTATGAAAAGAGATAAAATAGAAACAAATGATAGGCAATTGGCTTGTGCCAGGATAAACTCTGCAGAAGGCCAGGATTATTTAAAAGCAATGGCCGCCGCTGCTAACTTTGCATGGGTCAATCGCAGCTCAATGACTTTCTTAACACGTCAGGCTTTTGCAAAACAATTTAAAATGGCTCCAGACGATTTAGATATGCATGTTATCTATGATGTGTCCCATAATGTAGCAAAAATTGAGGAACATATTGTGGATGGCAAATTAAAAACTTTGTTGGTTCATCGTAAGGTATATAATAATAATATACAACATTCATAATGCAAATACATTTTGAATTGTAATTAAAATGTTTTACAAATATATCATGTATCTTGTAGGGTTCTACCAGAGCATTTCCTCCACATCATCCACTCATACCGGTAGATTATCAACTGACTGGACAGCCAGTTCTTATTGGAGGTACTATGGGAACATGCAGCTATGTCCTCACAGGAACTCACCAGGGAATGACTGAAACCTTTGGATCTACTTGCCATGGAGCTGTAAGTTTAATTAATTTATATCTTTTCCATTTTGTTGAGGACCAATGTAATCTGTATTAATTAAAATAATTTTCAGGGGCGTGCATTGTCAAGGGCTAAATCAAGACGTAACTTAGATTACAAAGATGTCTTAAATAAATTAGAGTCTTTGGGAATATCAATAAGAGTTGCATCTCCCAAATTGGTGATGGAAGAAGCACCAGATTCATATAAAAACGTAACAGACGTAGTGAATACATGTCATGCTGTCGGCATAAGTAAGAAAACTGTGAAATTACGACCCATTGCTGTAATAAAGGGTTAAGATATTAAATAAGAATGAAGCAGGAGATTCATATAAAATGTAACAGATGTAAATACGTATCTGCATGCTCCTAGTATTCTTAAGACTGGAAAATTACAACTTATTGCCATTGTTAACCTTGTGGTAAATGTAATGTTTTATAAATTGGTACTTTTTTATTTAAAAAACTGGTTTATATATAAGTGAATTATTATTCAAATTAATTCAGTGCTTTCTATAATTTGTATACTCTTGTAAGATTAAAACAAACTAAAATAAAAGAGAATGTTTACTTTGTGCAAGTTGGTGAGCAAATACCAATATCCAGTGACTCACACCAGTATCAAAGTGATTTTGCAGAAAGTGCACCTAAGTTATTAAACCTTTTTTTATTTCACCATCAATTAAAAATATATAGATATAGTTGGATACGATACAAGTATCACGCACCTGCCCCCACCGAGTGAGAGTGAGACTGATACCTTATATTTTATACCTTATGGTTATTGAAATAAGACAATTTATTTATTTTTATCCGAATTGGTAGGAATCTGTGCAAATGAATACTTGAAACTTATAGTACTCAGGTAGGTGACTATTTTTGAATTTTAAGTATTGGGATGACTGGCTAAAAACGGACTAAATAAATGCAATTATATTTAGCCCGTCAGTCAGATAATAGAAAAATATTAGATGCGTATTTTTTTTACTTCAATTTAACAAGAAATAGCTTAGATAACAGGCATTAAAGTTGAGGAGTGGGGGCTCGCTACGTCACAGTTGAGTAGAAAACGTACCCTAACGTGACGTCATGCGAAATTTCAACTCCATGTAACGCCGTAATTTTATGATTACGAAAAAAATAAAAAATACGTGTTTAATATTTTTTAACACTCTACCTGACGGACAAACAAACAAAAATTAGTCATCATCCCTATTATAAAAAACGTGATTATTTTTCCACATCCTACCAACAGTCGACAGAATCTGAAATATCTAAAACATTTGTAGAAGCCGCCATTACCGCGTTTGCAGTGCCGGATTAACTACGTTGCGAAGTAGTCCCGCGCGTTAGGGATCCCACGCAATTGGGTTGGCTATGGTCTGACCAATAATTTTTTTTTTCCGTCAGTGTTAAAAAAATACAGAAATAAAATAAGCCACGCTTCTGCCTAAATTCTTATTTTTTATTATAAACATAAACCCAAACTCCGATTATTCGTCATCGTCATCATGAAAGATATAGTTATTATTAGGCGATTGGAAGAATGCCCACAATTTTTTGAAAAGCCATAAATCATAACGTACCAACCATTATTTTTTTGTTAAACTTCAAAATTGTTTTAACAGATATCACCTAAATATTTTGATGACATGTTTATGTAAGGAAAAAAAAAACCAAAAGATTACGTATCTTGCATTCATTCAAAATCCGAAAGGAGGATTTTCTATGTTCAACGGGTATGTACATTTATTTATGTAAGTAGGTATGTTCATTGATTTCTTCTTGAATTGTGAACCAATTTCTATCTAGCTGTTTCCCCGCGACTTCGCCTGCATAAAATTATAGCCCATGTTCCCCGTATTTCGGAGCCGTTCCAATGCAAATAATTAAATAAGCAATCAAATCTTTCCTCTTTATAATATGAGTACGGATATTGGAAAAAATATTTTAAGCAAATAAACAAAAACTCCTTTTCTTAGACTTTCTATAAGTTAATATTTTTATATATAGATATTAACTTATAGAAAGTCTAAGACGTAATGAAATGACGATCTCAATCGTCATTTCATTACGTCGTCGAACTTAGATTGTCTAGCTACGTCTCGTACCGTAGATTATGTAAATGGTCTAACGCGTCCAAATATTGACCCTTTCTTTTTTTCACAAGTGACACCGACAGAGATAAAAAAAACTATGCTATCCATTAAATCCAATGCAGTGGGGTGTGATAAAATTAGTCGTCGCATGATTATTATTATACTTGACCATCTACTCCCTGCAATAACGCACATTGTTAATTCCTCCCTTAATTCCGGCGTTTTTCCTACCCTCTGGCGTAAAGCTTATGTCCGCCCTCTTCCTAAAATTCCCAATACAGTTGAATTAAATCAATTTCGTCCGATTTCTATTCTCCCTTTTATGTCGAAAATGCTTGAGGCCTGTGTCCATAAACAATTTTCCCAATTCGTTCACAAGAATACCTTGTTGAATCCACTGCAATCTGGATTCAGAAAAGGACATAGCACTGTTTCGGCACTCCTGAAAGTGACTGGCGATATTAGAGCAGGAATGGAGAAAGGTAAAATAACTTGTTTAGTTCTGATAGATTTCTCCAACGCCTTCAATACTGTCAGTCATGATATCCTTCTTTCTATACTATCTTATCTTATGGTGTCTGACGAAGTGTCTACTTGGTTTTCTTCTTATCTTCGGGAACGTCAGCAGTTGGTGCAGACTGACACATTGTCGTCATCCTGGGGCAGTCTAGAAACTGGCGTTCCCCAAGGCGGCATTCTTTCTCCTCTTCTCTTTTCCATTTTTATTGATTTTATCACTCACCAGCTTCAGTGTTCGTATCATCTGTATGCTGATGACTTACAATTATATACTGAATATTGATGAATTGGATAACGCCATTGATCAGTTAAATAGTGATTTATGTTGAGGGTGCTGATCCGGCTCGAAGGACCAAACTGTTGAGGGTGCTGATCCGGCTCGAAGGACCAAACTGTAGGCGATGTTGTATAACCGTGGATGATGGTGCAAAACAAAGACGGATTTTTCTAATGACGATTTATTTTTCTTCTTACTGGCTACTTATTACTGCTTGACTATACTGCTTGACTGACTTGACTTGACTACGAATATGTACAAATTTGGCCCTACCCTTATTCTAAACTTACTATCTAACTTAGATACTAATGACGCGCGGCGGCCGACCAATCACAGCGCGTTTTACGCCCGCGCGCCGGGTGGGGGAATCGCCCCCACCGTGCGGACGGCGCCTACGCAGCCAATGGGCTCCCTGATAATTCAGCTAATGTAGGCGCTGTGATTGGTCGTTCGATCTGTACATTTTTCGGCACGTGGCTGTCGTCAACAGTCTCCCCCCGGCGAAGGATCTCCGCAGCCTCCTCCGGTTGGCAGCCCGTGCCCGTCGCGCAGCGCGTCCTCTCTCATCGTTCCGTGGAGAGTGCAGGTTCGACGACGATCAGCTTCGATGTCGGCCGCCGAAATGTTCCTCCTCTTGTCGTTATCTCCACGTTCCGAATCACGCCGTCAGGTCCAGGGTAGGTATTGGCTACGATGCCGCGTGGCCACGTGTTTCGAGGCAGAGTGTGGTCGGCTATGATAACCACGTCTCCGGTCCGTACTTCGCTGCTTCGTGGACGTTGTGGGTCGCGGCGTGGTACGAGGGTCGGTAGGTACTCTCGTAGCCAGCGTTTCCAGAAGGCGTCGGCTAGTGCTTGCGTCGCCCTCCAAGTCCTGCGGTCGCCCTCTTCACATGGCCCGGTGTATGGAAGGCCGGTCGATGACCCCAACAAGAAGTGGTTTGGGGTTAGCGCCTCCGGATCGCTTGGGTCTACGGAGACATGCGTCAATGGTCGTGAATTGACAGCATGTTCCGCCTCGGCCAGTAGAGTGTGCAGGACTTCCTCCTTCGGTGCTCGTTCCTTTAATGTTGCGTTGAGCGCGGTTTTCACGGAGCGAACCATGCGCTCCCAGGCTCCGCCTTGGTTAGGTGCTCCCGGCGCGATGAATTTCCATGTGGCATCGTAGTTCATCGCCTCTCTCTTCAGCTCGGGAAGCCACTCGGTGTACGCCTTCTTGAGCTCGGTGTCAGCCCCTCGGAAGTTAGTGCCGTTGTCACTATATATTACGGCGGGCCATCCTCGTCGTGCTGCCATTCTTCGCAGCGCCATGATTGCGGAGTCAGTGGTGAGTGATGCCACCAGCTCCAGGTGCACGGCGCGTATCGTTAGACAGGTGAATAACGCCACCCATCTTTTCTCTCTTCGTCTTCCAATTTTGATGGTGACTGGCCCGAAGTAATCAATCCCACAATGACTAAAGGGACGTCTGAAGGGCTGTAAACGTTCTGCGGGCAGATCCCCCGTCGGCGGGTTCCTTGGCTTCGATCTTCGTAGTCGGCACATAAGGCAGCCTGCTGCGACTTTCTTAACTGTTGGTCGCAGTCGCAGGATCCAGTACTGCTGCCTGATGTCGTTGACCACTCGCTCGTTGTTGCAGTGTCCCGCTCGTCTGTGCTCTCGATCAATAATTTTCTTCGCGAGTTCGTGGCGTCCGTCCAATAATACCGGCTTCTTCGCTGTTTCCGGTACGTCCGCCTTATTGATGCGTCCGTTTAGTTTCACAAGCCCGTCCTCCCAAGTGAGGTCGTAACGGTGCAGAGGGCTCGTTCGTGCTACGGGGACTCCTTTCTTCAGGCACTCGATTTCTTGGCTGAAGGAGTCTTGTTGCGCCTGCTGCAGCCATAAATTTGTCGCTCGGTTGAGATGTTCGCGGCTGAGTGTCTTCGTTCTGTCGCGACATCTTTCCACGAAGAGTAGCGCTTGCGCTGTTGCGCCGATCAGTCGCTCGAACGTCGAGAATCGTTCTATCTCCGGTAACGCCGCGTTTCTCTCTGTTGTGTGCGCGATGACGTGTGTTATTTCCGTCGTTTCGTCATCTTCTCGATCCGTTGGTGGCTTCGGCCATTCCGATCTTGGTAATTTCAAGAAGGATGGTCCCGTGAACCACAGGTCGTTTTCGTTGGCTGGCGTATATCCGGCGCGTGTGGCGACGTCGGCTACGTTCAGATGCGTCGGTATCCATCGCCAGTCTTGCGGTCTGGATAACTCGGTTATTTCTCCCAGACGGTGTGCGACGAATGGAGTGTAGCGCTTGCTTCCATTCCGCAGCCAATGAAGCACCGTCTGAGAGTCGCTCCAGTACACGGTGTCGTCGACGTTGACACGGTGTTCTTCTCTGATTGCTTTCGCTAGTCGCGTTCCGATGAGGGCCGCTTGAAGTTCCAGGCGCGGTACGGTGTGGGTCTTCAAGGGCGCGACCTTAGCTCTTGCCGCTATCAGGACTGTCTCGATGACATGGCCGGGTCCGTAGTGCAACCTCCAATACGCCGCCGTTGCGTAGGCTTCTTCGCTGGCGTCGCAAAATACATGAAGTTCACGGCGACGCACTTCTCTCCCCCCGTTGTAACTACGGGGTAGCCGTAGTTGGTCGATTGCTGGCAGGCT